CTGTGCGCTGAGAGTGGCCTAGGCTGGGCACGGCCGCCCACTTCCTCTAATAATTCCCAGGAGGGAAGTGCTGGAAGTGGCGGGGGAGGAAGTGGTGGAGGAGGAGAGGGAGACTATATGGTCTTACCTCGTAGGACGGTCAGTCTTAAAACTTCAGCACCATCCTCCCAAGGAGGAGGCCTGGGACTGGGGGGTGAGGACAAGCCTCTCAACATCACAGTAGAGGATCCTCCTTTTCCTCCACCTCCCTCTCCCCTGAGCCTCCATCCAGCTGAGACCGAGGCCTACCCGGCGGATTTTGTGCCATCCAGTGTGAGCGACATGAACATCACCATGAACCTCAACCGCCCCTATGGGACAATCAAAACCATGCCCCATGGGCACATGATGGCTCAGGGGGGTCTTGTACACTCTCACAGCGGACACATGCACTCCCATGGGCATTCACTTCAGCTGAAGCCCAGCCAGAGGCCATCTGTCAGACAGATTCTGACAGGGGGAACTACTGTGGAGAGAACCAGGACCCTGCCACGCAACCTGGGCAGCACCAATGCCACCACCAGCATCTCAGCAGGATCCCTGGAGGTGGGTGAGAGGTTGAGGGATGAGGAAAGGGTTCCTAGTGGTGGTGCAGCTTCTTCACTATGTCCACCTTTCACCTGCACTCATGGTTCAAAGTTATGAATGTGGTAGTGGTGGTATGGCTATATAAGTGAAGGTACAGTGGTGGATTGATGAAAAGAATAAAAAATGAGCAAGAAAAGGTCCAGTTATTTAATGCATCATTATCTCTGTATGTATAGAAGGATTATACACACTTTCCAAGCAAGAAAAATGCAAATATCACAGTTTGCATCTTTATTTATATTTATTAAGATGAGGTGATTGGCATCAGGAAAATGTAAAGCAGATTTATCCAACTTTCAGCAATTTTTTTACCTTAGAAAAAAAAAATTATTCTTAAATGCTGTAACGCCTGTGACTCCAAAAAAATCTGTGAAGCAGAAGTGAGTTTGTAGCACTTATATCCATATAATTGCAAGTGCAATCTTCAAACAAGTTAAATAATTTCTAATACATATTGTCTATCATGTACAGTGACAGTATGACCAAGATGTTGTGATAATAGCACAGTTGTGTGCCTGAGAACAAGTCTGCTGTAATAATTGCTATCATTTGTAGCTGAGTAGTATTTATTGCTGCTGACTAAGTGAGCATTGAAATTAGTTGTTCTCATATTGACAGCTTCTTAGTTTACTCCGTGTGTGTGTGTAGTGTGCAGAGGTGGAAAGTAATGAAGTACAAATACTTTGCTACTGTACTTAAGTAGATTGTTCAGGTATCTGTACTCTGCTTAAGTATTTATTTTTTTGACAACTTTTTACTTTTACTCCCTACATTATAACAAAAATAGCTGTATTTTGTACTCCTTACCTTTTAAAATCAGGCTCATTACTTTTAGTTTTAATATATTAGAGGGGAATTATTGATTATTTTTATTCAGCACTTCCTTACTTTTTACTTTTACTCCCTACATTATAACAAAAATAGCTGTATTTTGTACTCCTTACCTTTTAAAATCAGGCTCATTACTTTTAGTTTTAATATATTAGAGGGGAATTATTGATTATTTTTATTCAGCACTTCCTTCAAAATGCACACACCACTGCACTGTGTGACGTTCCTTGTTTACAGTCTGCTACCTTCTCGCACTTCTACAGCGATCTCATGCATGCACAGTTAAGTCTTACTTCAGACTATAGATGTGTGCTTCAGATGCTGTAAAAGAAACATGTCACCCAGTGCAATGGTATGTTTCACTTTTGTGTTTTTAATCATTTTTCAACAACACTATATGTCTATGGCACAAATGAATGAGCTAATTGAGGTTGGAGACTGACAGACATTAAATGTGAGCAGAGGCAGTAGTTGGTAGTTGGTTTTAGTTTTTGTATGGATATTGGGATATTGTTGAAAAGTGAAAAGGCTATATCTATTAAGGCTTAATTAGACCTAAAATGCATTCTTGTTAGTGTGTGTGTGTGTGTGTGTGTGTGTGTGTGTGTAGAGAGTGAGAGAAAGAAATGTCCTTCCAAGGAGCACTTTTTACATTTATTCTTTGAGCACACTTCAGAGCCTGTACTTTTTTACTTTTATTCAAGTAAAGAGTTTAAATCAGTACTTTTACCAGAGTATTTTCTTACACAGGTATCTGTACTTCTACTTGAGTAATGAATGGGTGCACTTTTGCCACCTCTGGTTATCACACACACTAGTGTGTGTGTGATAACCCCCTCCTAACTGTACAAGGTGGCACAGCAGATGGACTGAGACAGAAAAGTTCAGAGGAAATGCCCCTAGTGAATATCTCTCAGCCCACCTTAATTTTACACATACATACACGCACACACACGTTGAAGTGCTGTGCATACACACAAAAACAAATGCACAATGACATGGACATACAAACACAAAAACACACACACATTTCGGTTCTTCTCCCAATGGCATCTTGCTGACTCACATGGTTGATTGAAATGATGCTTTCACCAAGAATTGCAGATGCTTCATTTAGGGCTGAGAATGTTAAGGACAAGTCATTAAAACTCATAAAACATTCACCATCAGAAGAGCTATGAGTGAACTCATGAATTAAAAAAACTGCTGAGAAAGCTGTGGGATGTAATTTACTGGTGTAATTTCACCCTGTTTGAATATGCTTGATTTGGAGATATCAGAGCTTGTCTCTCAAGTGTGTTACTCCCCAGTTCAAACATGGTGATGCATCATGGAGGGATCACACAAATGTATTCATAGTGTTCGTTTCACTGTTGATTTTTAGTTAGAGGCTTGTAAATTTTAACTGTAAATGATGAAAAAGGTTCACATGGTATATTATCCTCTCACCATACAATAGAAACCAGAAGAGAGAATACTGAAGTATTAATTTGTATCTTCTTTCAAAAAGTGGTTGAAGATAGAGATCAGATTATCATGTAATTACTACACTAACTATACAAGTAAAAAATATGAAAAACTGTGTGACTGTGGTTTGCAATTACTTCATGCCATCATAACAGCAAATCAAAGGATCCATTATAAATTTTGAGTCAGTGAGTTTATGACTTCTTTAAGTGTGTTCCGACCAAAACATGCAATATACTGAACATGTATATGCATGCTGCATGGCTACTGTATTACAAAGGAAAATCACAATCATGGGATTTCTTTGTTTAAGGTAAGGATTCCTGTATAGTAGTAACTGCATTGTTTTTTACTGTAAGAAATTATGGCTGAATTCATAATATGACCAAGAGACACTTGCCCTTATATGTTTGCATCTTACTGTACCTCTGTCTGTCATAGCATCAGATCAGCAACTCTGCCCTTCCAAAGCATTTAACTAACTGTGGAGAGCTCCTCTCTTGCTGCCAAATGCAAGTCTGGCAGACAGCAAGGATCTAATAAGAAGTCAGAGATGGAATATAATGCAATGCAATGCCAGGGCCAGATGAGTTGGAAATCTCTGCAGCTGTTAAACTGGTGGCTTGTGTGCTGCTCACTATAGCTACAGAGGCACTTAAGAGGAGAGCTGCCCGGTCCAAACAAGATTAGAGGATGGAAACCATTTCTTATATGTTTTTTGCAGCTCTTTTAATTGGAATGTCTCCAACAAAATCTTAAAAAATACCAGAGGATGATTTATAGTGGGGTTGTAATGATTGTATTTGGGAGGATGTGAACCGAGAAATGATTATTTCATTCTAATTCTGGGGATTCCACTTCACTAATCTCATTACATTGAAATAGATTGAATAATTTGCTTTTTGTTTTGACATCTGTAAGAATATCTGTATCATGTTGGGCAGACTGTGCATATTAGTGCATATTGTTACTGAACAATGGCTCTGAGAGGTCCACAGAGAGAATGCCATAGAGAAATCAAACGTTAAATAGTGGTTGGGGCATGGTCATTGATACTTTCTTCTCTCCCCCTGCCCCTGTCCTCTTCCAGAGGAAAAGAGTACGGTACTCTGAGCTGGACTTTGAGGTAAGATCTCAGACCTCATCCCTGTCATCAGCCTGTTTCTGCTTTCTTGTGCTTCTGCCAGGACTTGAGTAACGCATAAAGGAGCAAAAAGCATTGCTAAACCCCTCCCTCTGCACCCATGTCTTCCTTTAGATCTATGAACTGTTTCAGACCTACCTTACATAGTATGCTGTTTCTGCAACAATGGCCTTAAACCTCTTCCTACCTATTATCTGTCTTATTGAAATAATGTATGTTTCAATTTTTTGCATGATGGAAACAAAAATATCATGCAGACATGCAGCTCAAATGATGTTCTATATGTTATTGTGGAGGTCCTGGTTGAAGAAACAGCAAAGTAGAGTGCTTTTTTTGTCTGAATGATTACCAGTAACTGAGTTCTGGGTTGACACATATGTGGCCATAGTTGGTGATTGGTTATATTTGTTGGAACAACGTGGGTCAGCAGTGTGTGAGTATGTTTGTGTTAGAATGACCTGGGTGTCCTGTGAATCTCCAGTCTCGATTGATTAATTCCTTTCCATTAACATACAGCACTGCTCTTTGCATTGCTGCTCTTTGTGTGACAATTCAGTTTCATTTGAATGTAAAGACTGGACATTCACATTGTTGGCATACAATTTATGTGGAAGGAATGTGTGGTGACAAGCTACTAACAGTGACTATGGCTGATCATTTTTACTTATCTGGCAAATTTACAGGAGAGCCATTAGTGGCCATTGCATGAACAGGGAGATTGGCTCTCCTGGAAATCTGCTCTTTTCTCATCAGATGACTGCTGACGTTTGAGAAAAAGGTTGACATAGAAGAACCATAAAATAAGGAAGTGTACACTCCATGATGTAATGAAAGCTAAACCCATTTTCAGCCATGTTTTTAGTGTGTTTGCCCACCCATTTTGACAGTTAAAAATTAACTATAAACTTTATGAGCATTTTTAAAATTACTATGAGTAAACAGTACTTTTCTCTGAAAATATAAAGGGGCATTCCAGTGATTTAGGATAGCTCTTAAAGTGAGAATTGCAAGAGGCACATTTCAAAAAGAATGGTTAAAGTCAGCAAAAGCTGCAATAGCCTCACTTTTAGTTCCTAGTATGGGTCCAGCTCAAAAAATGCCAAAGCCTACAATTCCCATAATGTGTGTCATTTTTCATTGGCCTCTTCTGCCTCCTAAACTGAAAACTCTAACTTGATCTTTGTGAGCAGAATGGTTGACTGCCCCGTTAAAGCTACAATATGTAAATATTTTTGTTGCAGAAATCTGTGCCAAAACTTGTGAAGAGGGTCTGCCGAAGCCTCCTGTGACTCAGACTCATTGAACAGTGCTGTTCTACAGCAGTGCAGATATATTAGTGTCTAAAAGGTTTTGAGCAGGACTGGCCTCTCTAAGCAATCAGAGATTTTCAGTTATTTCTGCTTGATCAGTAAGTTTTCATTTATCGTAATTTCATAACTACAACAATCTGAAGAGCTGAGCAGAGCATGGAGGAGTGTAGCAGATTGTAGTTGAGCCTAGTGGAGAGGGAAGAGAGAGTGCTGGGCGGAGCAGAGTGGATTGATTTGGAGTTGTATGGCAGTGTTGCCTTACGTTACATACTGTAGCTTTAACTGAGCATTCTTTATTTAGGATG